TAGTTTACAGATGTGCATCGACTACCGCGCACTGAACAAACAGACAGTCAAGAACAAATACCCCATACCGCGCATAGACGATCTTCTAGACCAACTGCGTGGTGCGACGGTGTTTTCAAAGCGGGACCTACGGTCGGGTTGCTGGCAGATCAAGATGGCGGACAACTCGATCCACAAGACGGCGTTCCGTACCAGATACGGCTCCTACGAATACTTGGTGATGCCGTTCGGACTCTGCAACGCACCAGCGACGTTCCAGGCAGAGATGAACCACATCCTACGGCCCCTGCTGGACGAGTGCGTGGTAGTGTACTTGGACGGCATACTGATCTACTCCAAGAATATGAAGGAGCATATGGAGCATCTGCGAAAAGTCTTCGAGATCCTGCGGAAGAACAAGTTCTACGTGAAGCTGTCAAAGAGCGACTTCGCCCTGAAGAAGGTGCAGTTTCTCGGGCACATGGTGAGTGCGGAGGGCGTACACGTGGACCCGCGGAAGATCGAAGCCGTCAAGAAGTGGAAAGTTCCAGAGAACGTGAAGGAGTTGCAGCAGTTCCTAGGCTTCGCCAACTACTACAACAGGTTCGTGCCGCAGTACGGTTAGATAGCAGTGCCACTGACCAACCTACTGAAAAAAGGATATGCCCTATAAATGGGATACTCCTCAACAGCAAGCCATGGAGCAGCTACAGACAGCACTGACTACAGCGCCAGTACTCATCCTACCGGATCCAGATAGAGACTACGTGGTGGAAGCAGACGCTAGTGACCAAGCAGTTGGAGCAGTACTGATGTAGGATCGCGAATACGGTTTGCAGCCCATCGCCTTCCTAAGTAAGAAGCTACACGGAGCAGAACTGAACTACCCCATCCATGACAAGGAAGCCTTAGCGATAGTCACAGCCTTCAAGGCGTGGAGGTGTTACCTAGAGGGAGCCAAGACTACAGTTTACACTGACCACTGCAGCCTCAAATATCTAAAGTCGCAGCCGACGCTCTCACGGCGACAGGTGTGGTGGATGGACTCCTTGGAGACCCACTTCCACTACGACATCGTCTACAAGCCCAGGCTATACAACAAAGCAGACGCGTTGAGCCCCCCCGGACTTGTAGCAGGCATCCAGCTCGACGGGATGAACCCTCTGCTCAAGGGTCTATTCCAACATGGGTACTCCGTGGACGCAGAGATCGCTACAGCACAGAACCAGAAGCTGTTACAGTAGGAGAATGACTTAGCTGTAAGAAAGGGATCGGGAAAGATTTGGGTACCGAACTATGCCCCGCTCCGACAGATCTTACTGGAGGAGTTCCACGATGTGGCATACGCGGGACATTTCGGGAGCAACAAGACGTTAGCGGGAATTGCGAAGTACTACTACTGGCCCCGGATGGCAGCAGACGTGCAGCAGTTCGTCACTTCATGCGACACGTGCCAGCGGATGAAGAGTAGCAAGCAGAAAAAAGCAGGGTTACTTCAGCCTCTACCCGTACCGGAGCAGCCATGGCAAGTCGTTAGCCTAGACTTCATCACTGGTCTTCCTTCGACCTCACGAGGGCATAACACTATACTCGTGGTGATAGACAAGTTCTCTAAAATGGGACACTTCATTCCGACCAACGCCACAGCTACAGCTGAAGCATCCGCTCGCCTCTTCTTCGACCGCATCATCACCATCCACGGCATCCCCGCTACACTCATCTCAGACAGAGACCCAAAATTCACTAGTAAGTTCTGGAGGGAACTCATGGGATTGTTGGGGACAAAGCTTGCAATGTCTTCAGCATACCACCCCCAGACTGACGGACAGACTGAGCGACTCAATCAGGTGGTTGAACAGTTATTGCGCACAGCTTGCAAAGACGACATCAGCCACTAGAATCAACAGTTACCAACGCTTGAGTTCGCTTACAACAACGCGTCGCATGCGGCCACAGGGAAATCTCCTTTCTTAATGTGCTATGGACTTGAACCATTTACACCACAGCAGCCAACCGTACTGGCACACGTCCAAGCCGCACACGACTTCGTCACCACCATGCAGCAGCTATGGGAGAAGACTGATCGACGTCTCACTACGATGCAGCACACCCAGAAGCAGTATGCCGATCGATAGCGACGAGATCACTCAGTAGCAGTCGGAGATCAGGTGCTTTTCGACTCACGCAGCTTGGACTTGTCCCACATTCCATCCAGGCTCCGGCCTCGCTTCTGTGGTCCCTTTCGCGTTGAGGCGATGATGACACTAGTTACATTCTGCTTGCGCTTACCTTCTACATGGAAGCTTCACAACTCTTTCCATGTTCAGCTGCTGAAGCCCTACAAGGACCCCAACCAGCAGTTCACAGGACGACAGCTACCGCCACCACCACCTGTTCTCGTACAAGATGAACCAGAGTACGAGGTGGAACGAGTTCTCGCTCATCGACGCAGACGCGGCAACACGCTCGAGTTCCTGATACGCTGGAAGGGATACGACCCGTCGGAGGACAGTTGGGTTGCAGAAGCTGATATGGGCAATGCACGCCGTGCTCTCAAGGATTAACTTGTGAAGCAGGGTGTATCCCACGCCACCCAGCTTTGAGGGAGGGACGTGTGAGAGTACGACGGCTTTGCTATGATTTACTAGCTTGATTATGCTTTATCTAGCTTAGCTTTATTTTGTTTTGCTTGCTTTGCTTAATTTCCTAGGTTTGTTGCTTTACTATATCTTTTATAGTTATAGGCACCGAACTAGGTTGAGTGCACCTAATCCTAGGCTTTTCGATTGCCACCGAATTGCCTTCTACCGAATTCGGGAAGGACCCATTCGGGACGCTTCGCGACCCGCGGAACCTTCTAGTAACACCAGGGTTACTGCCTTTGTGTCGAGCCTATATATAGCCTCGCCTTGTACCCAGGTGCATTATTCAATAGTTCAATCTTTCCTGAACCAGATCCTCACAAAAGAGGTCGTAAGTGATAGTAGATAGGGCATAGGGGATTATGGATCCGCAATCGAGAATTGGGATTCGGAAGTTATTGGGCATTGGGAGATGGAAATAGGGGGTAGCGGAGAGCGCGGACGTGCTAGCAAAAGAACAGGGCCTTACAAGCGTGGAGCTGGGCATCTTGTAGATTTCATTGATAGATATAGTCTTCGGAAACTAACCGCACATGAATTTACTTGTACACAAAGTTCGTTCTGGCCATAACGGCCCAGTTGAAGTTGAGATTATGTTGAAAGGACAGCAGAATCGCCAGAATAACGTATGTATTTAGGAAGCAATGAGAGGAACGAGAATCGCCACCTGTGCGTCTCTGGCCCTCCATGTTGCGTCCCACGCCCTCTTCAGATCTTAAGAGGGAATGGATGGTGGCAGTCACAATAAGATGGGGAGAAGAAAGGATCACAGAGCAGAAAAGGGCTAGGTTGTGCGCGTGGCCCATGGGAGAATGGCTGGTGGAACCACAGTACTTCAAGCACGCATGTCCATGTGCTTCAATAAAACGGCCCAGAATGGTCTTGCAAAGGAGAAAAGCGGAAAAGCATAGAGCGAGGGTGTGGCGTGAGAAGGAGAACGATGAGAGTCTTCTACTGCCTGCGCGCCGAGCTGCACGTCCCTCAGTGCCTGCTACTCGCGCGGCCTTCTGATCCTGTAACGGGAATCCGTATAGTTCTATGAAGAGCACCACGACGGGGATGAGCTGGAAAGGCAATCAAATGTGCATCCACGTTCTTCAGTGCTCGCCGCGAGCGAGCGCTATTGAGACTGTAACGGGTATAACACGACTTGTTGCGGGGACAAGCCCGCACGCACGTTGACTGACCTGGTGATCCTAAAGTGTAGCGCAACTGGTAGTAACTGGTGATGGGCCCAAAGCGCCGTGCTAAAGAGTCGATATTTTTTAACTCCGAGATGCCCATTGCGATGCAGCAGCTTTAAGAGTCAAGTGCATAGAATACGCGTGTCAAAGCAGTCTCGCCACAAGTATGCTGCCAACAGACAGGCCTGTCTTTGCAAGCCGGGCGAAGTCTAAGAGGCTTTCAGGACGTAATCCGAGTCGCCAAATCGAGGGCGTATCACCCAACCAACTAACAACACTCAGGATTCTCAGGAATCCGTGAAGTGATTAATTAATTTGAGCCCTTTCAAGGTTACTGGGGTTTACATTTGTTGTGCATCAGAGCTGGAAAGGTTTCTATGTAAGTTGCAAACACAAGCCGTGCCGCGTAGTGTATCGAAGCCAGCACGAATGAATGCGATCTGTCGCATCATTGTCACTGCTAGTTCAGCTCGTCGTGCACCCCATTTCACAGCAACAGCTCACCCGTGTTCAGCTCGTACGTCCACACTTCATTCGTGTGGAAGTCCAGACCCGGGATTGTCATATCAGCTTATCCACATGCCTTCGCAGCGAAAGGACATATGGTGGACAATGTTAGATTAGTGACCACAAGCCCGTTTAGTGCTACCTCAGCATCGACATGGGTTTTGATGTTCGATTCCGCATCCCCGTTTGCTTAATCCAATGCAGGACGTAATCCGAGTCGCCAAATCGAGAGCGTATCACCCAACCAACTAACAACACTAAGGATTCCCAGGAATCCGCGAAGTGATGAATTACTTTCAGCCCTTTCAAGGTTACTGGGGTTTACATATGTTGTGCATCAGAGCTGGAAAGGTTTCTATGTGAGTTGCAAACACAAGCCGTGCCGCGTAGTGTATCGGAGGCAGCACGAATGAATGCGATCTGTCGCATCATTGTCACTGCTAGTTCAGCTCGTCGTGCACCTCATTTTACAGCAGCAGCTCATCCGTGTTCAGCTCGTACGTCCACACTTCATTTGTGTGGAAGTCCAGATCCGGGATAGTCACATTAGCTTATCCACATGCCTTCGCAACGAAAGGACATATGGTGGACAATGTTAGATTCGTGACCAGCAAGCACGTTTAGTGCTACCTGCAGCATCGACATGGGTTTTGATGTTCGATTCCGCGTCCCCGTTTGCTTTAATCCAATGCAGCCCAGACAACCATGGTAGTGACAGTTGTGCCGGTAGTAAGCTATCGGTGTCGTGCCACGTGGACGTTCACGTCGCCGCCTCCCCAGGCGAGCCTCTCCGGTCGGTCTTCACCCGACTGTTTCACTCGCACCTGCTGCACTGCTGCCTGCCGTGCGATGCGCGCGAGGCACCGCCGCGGCCGCCATTGTTTGGAACCAAGGATAAGTCTCCGTGCGATGCACGGCAGGTAGCGCGAGGAAGCGAGGAGTTGCTGTGCGAGGCACGTCACGCGTAGCGGGGAGGCGCGGATGGCGGGGAAGCCCACACTGACTCGCTGCGTGGGACGCAACCAGTCTGCGAGGCGCTCTCGGTGCATGGAGCGCAGGCGGTGCAGTTCATGGTGGTGGGCAGGTGGTGTACCTGTCACTTGACTGTGCTGTAGCACACGCGCACCTCAAACCCACCTCCACCATCAAGGTGCTTCTCGTCAAGGCAGTGCGTGCAGGTGGAGAGGGGGAGCGCAAGGGCGGGGCTGATCAGAGCGTGAAGGCTCCTGCCGCCCCACCTCTTGAGGTCGTGCCTCCGCTTGTTGCTGCTCCTCCTACTGCTGCGGCTGCCGCTGCTCCCGCTGCTGCACCAATCCTTGCCGTTCATCCTGTTGTTGCTGCACCTACTGTTGCCACTCCAACAGCTGCTGCGACTCCACGTGCTGCTGCTGCTGCGTCGCTCATTACTGCTGCGGCACCCACTCCCGCGGTGGATTACGGCAAGTGGGACCACATCGCCTCCAGCAGCGACGACGACGACGGTGAGGATACGAAGCTGAGCGCACGTTTAGCAGGGAGTGGCGCGTCCTACGGTGGAGGCCTTTCGGAATTTAAGGAGGAGATTTGGCGTGGTCGAGACGAGGTGGTGCGGCGCTGGAATTCTCACTGGCGCGCTTCATGCCCTCACGGCACACTCGCATACCGCCGGGGGGGTAGGGGGAGTGGGGGCTGAGGAAGTAGGTAGGAAGTGAGGTGCTGTCGCGTGCGGACATGGTTCACTACCTGGACGTGGGAGGGTGGTGGCACGCGGCTGAGTGCGAGTGCTGCTTCCACCACGTGCTCACCCTGGGAGCAGAGCGTGCTGTCACCATGGAGAGCCTTGACCTCTTCCAATCGCTCCTGCACACACAGCAGCCCCGCTGCACGCCCCTTGCACGTGCAAGTGCAATGAGCAAGGGTGTGCTGGAGTATTCCGCCACAGTGCAGGCGTTTGGACCACACGTGCAGCTGGAGCCCGCGGCGCAATTTCCCTGCAAGTGCACTCTTGCGCCATTGTGTGCGGAGGTGATGCTGCTCGCGTGGATGGCTGAGCCGTGTGTGGGCGTGCTCATGGATCTGGGGACCATCAGATCCCGCCTGCCTGCCATTCTGGCCATTGGAGATTCCCCTGCTACATCGCCACCTGCTGCATCTGCTCCACCTGCTGCTGCTGCTGTGCTACTGCTGCTGCTGCTGCTCTTGATTCTGCAGCGTGGTCCTGCTGCTGGCGCTGCAGCAGCTGCTGGGCTGCCTACCGCCGTGCTGTCAGCTTCGCTGCGTTCCTCGTGCTGGTGGCACAGTGGCCGCACATGGACACGCTACGGAGAGCTCATCTTTACGCGTATGACGCCGTGCACCCAGCGCAGGTGGGCGAGCTGGGGGCGGGCAGGCAGGGGAGCACAACCTTGCTGTGTCCATGCTTGTGCAGGTGCTGGGGGTGAAGGAGCGTGCTGAGTTCAAGGAAGGGTTTGGGTTCTTTGTGCAGCATGTGCTGTCAGGCGGGGTGGAGAAGTCGCACGAGGAGAAAAAATGGAAGAGGGGGAGCTGGGGGGAAGGCTACTGGGGAGGTGCATGGGGAGGGGAAACACGGAGAGGAAGAATCAAGGAGCAAGGTAGACGTTGATAGGGTTGCTAGCAAGTGCGGTAGGGATAGGAAGGAAGTGAACTGGAGGGAGCATATGAAGGGGCGTGAGTGGGAGAGGTATGTGGATGGCATGGCTTGGATTCTGGAGCATGGAGGGGGGGGGCGGAGGACTTTCACGTGCAGCCATTGCAGTGAGGGGGGCAGCAGAAGCAGCAGTAGCAGCAGCAGCGGTGGCGGTGGCGGCGGTGACAGTAGCAGCAGCAGCAGCATAGGCGGTGTTGGTGTAAGGGCCTAATAAACTCAAGCTATTAGGACTTAATCAAACTTAAAACCTCTCCTCGGGGTCACCTCCAAGGGTCCCTGGGTGCCTGGTACAAGACCAGCCCCTATCCTCGGGTCCGAGTTTGTAGAGAGAGGGATCAAGAAGGACTTAGTCAAAACAGCAAGAGTACCTTGAACGTCGCGCAGCGTGCCGTGCAGACCGTCGGTCGGATTAAGCTGAGAATTCGCTATATCGAAGCTCGCTCCAAGAGCTTTAAAATGAGCCAAGTTGCCTCGCGAAAAGTTCTGCCATTACTAAGTTATGGCTCGGACAGCGTTTGCCTAGCGTTGGAGTGCTAGCATACTAGCGTTGACTCGGGTAGCATTCCGCCGTCGAATAGCGCAGAAACGAAATTCCAGCGAGGAAGGAATTCGCTTGAATCAATTTGACTATATTCAGGTACAAACAGAGAAGGATTAAATAGTTCTAGCTAGCAAGGACCTTGGGAATCAACCTGGGAACAACCAGGGATGATCCCAAATAATTCCAAACAACAGAACCAACCTGGCTGGACAAAATAGCAGGTGGTAGGTTGGTAAACAACCTCTGGTTCTGTTTTTCCAACTTGGGAAAACAACAACCAGGTTCAGGTTCTAAAAACAGAACCTGTTTTGTCTTTGCCCAACCAGCCAAATGCTGGTTCCGCTGGTTTCCCCTGGCCTTGTAGCATGCAGATACAGACAAACAACATCCAACCTTCACCTAAATTGTACCCCTATAGTGCCTTCCCTGCTACACTATAGTTAACCAAACAAAACAGTACAATTTCGAGCTGGATAGAACTGAATCTGCGCAATCAACTCAACCGAACTGCAAAGCTTCCATCTTGGGTTCCTTTGCGAGCTCGTCCTTTCTGCTTGCACTGTTCATAGCGCGTACAATGTTGTGCCGAAGCGCACATTGCGCGAGTATCTGCAAATGCATCAAGCGAAAAATGCGAAAGCAAACAAACACACGAACACACCATTCACACGCAAATGCATTCGCACACGCATACTCGTACAAACAGACGGCAGGATGTCGTGCAATGTGCATTTGCACTCAACAGGCGGCAGCGGCGGCGGCGGCAGCAGCAGCGGCGGCGGCGGCGGCAGCAGCGATACATGCAGCCGAAGAAAGGGCAAGGGTATTCCCAAGGGCTTGTATGTGAGTGGCGTGGATGGTAGTGGCTTCGCCCTGGCAGTGGCCACTGTGCTGTGGAGGCCGCAGCACCGCACATTGGTAGCGAGGTTCTTCGCAGGGTGCAGTGGATGTAGCAGCACGGTGGAAGATGCCGCCAGGGGGAGGCTCACAACGCTGGGGCTGGCAACACGGATGAAAGGGGGAGGGGCAAGTGGTGGGGGTATATTGGAACAACAGTGGCAGCGGCACGAACAAGAGGGCGCCCAGCTTCCAAAGCAGCTGCTGCCTCAGCAGAACCTGTGGCAGCTGCTGCCTCAGCAGAACCTGGGGCAGCTGCTGCCCCAGAGCTGCCCTGGGCAGCAGCAGCGGTTCTACCGGCACAGTGTCCTCGTGCCTGTCAACACAGAACCTGTGCTTGGGGTTCTCATATATCGGGTTGCCTGCATCTTGCAGTGGCTACGGATCTACGTCTCAGATTTCATCTCCGCCAGAAGCTGCTTCAAGGACAGCCCGCAGGGCAAGGTCGTGCCCATGCGCCACCCGTTTCGGGACCTTCCGAGTGTGCTGGTCAGGTTTGGCGCTGTTCCCAAGCCTTTGTATGGAAGCAGCCTCCTTCCGGAGTGGGAGGAGTGGCCCGAGGGAGACGAAGCCGCTGCGAAGTTTCCTAAGAACCCAAGTGCAAGTTGTTTTGGGCTGGGCATGGCGGAGGGCAGGCGGTGTTGTAGGAGCAGAGGGCACGTGGCAGCAGAAGCAGGTCCCAGCAAAGGCGTGTGGGTGGGGGCAGAAGCGCGTCCCATGGTTCGGTGCAGGGTAGACGTGGACGGCATATTAAACTTCTCCAGTGTGCTCTTCGTGCCGCCTGCATGTAACAACTGCAGTCGCTGCATCACCATCTACACCTCGCATATGTCTGTCATTGCCCTCATCGCCACCTACGCCTACCGCCCCGCTGCTGCCCTCGTGCAGCGCTTCGCCTCCGTGTTCCCCCCTCATAGCCACGAGTACTGCAACATCTTCGAAGGCCTGGGGCTGCACGCTTCGTATGGCCGCGTGCGTGTGCTGCAGCAAGCGGTAGAGGAGGTCCCCATCCTCTTCCTGCTCACCCTCGCCCTTCACCACTCCAAGGCTCTCTCGCGACATTGTGGGGCTGAAGGGGAGCATATTTCAAAGGCTGGTGGGGGCAGCAATGGGGCGAAAGGCAAGGCGGGAAGGAGGAGGGCGGGGAATCGCGATAGTGGGGAAGGAGGGGAGGGTGGAGAGAGTGGGAGGGGTGAAGGTGATAGCGGGAATGTGTGTGAGGAGGTGAAGTCGTGGTTCGACGCGGCAATGCTGCCGGCTGCTGGTACAGGGGCTGGCAGGCCCGCGTGCAGGGGCAGCGAGGCAAGGGAGTAGGTACGGCCGCGCACGCAGAGAGGGTGATGCAGGCGTCTGAGTGGTGTACCGTGCCCCGGTTCTGTGAAGACATGAAGCACGTAGCCGGGCCTGCCATTGCCCGTGCTAGTATGCGCAGCAAGCGGAAGGGCAATAAGGGGGAAGAGGCGGCTTACCGGAAGCCGTGGCTGGGGGGAGTGAATTTTGGTGGCATGTCTGCGAGAGATGCTGCTGGGGGAGCCGTGCTACCGCCCTGCCTCCCCTGCTGAGCCTTCCGCCCCTAATGCTGCTGCTATGGCTTCCCATCCCGCTGCCTCTCCCACTCCTGCTGCCCGCCCCACCCATCCCGCTGCCTCTCCCACTCCTGCTGCCCGCCCCACCCCTTCTGCTGCTGTGAACACCAGTGCTGCAGCGAGCAGCAGTGCAGGTGCTGTGAGAAGGCGTGGTGCAGCGTCCATTGGAGCATCGAGGAACTCTGCCACGGCACCACCCTCTTGTGTTGCTGCATCCACTCTCGCTACACCAAGCATTGCTGCAGCAGCCGTTTCAAACACACATCCCAGTTCAAATGTAAAACGCTCTACTCCTCTGTCTACAGGCGGGCGCGCATATGGTGCTGAGGGGTGTGGAAGGGCGGAGGGTGGTGCTATGAGGCTGAAGAACTGCTCTGGGTGTGCCAAGATGGCGTATTGCAGCAGAGAGTGCCAAAAGGCGCACTGGCCCTCCCACAAGCTCACCTGGCCCGGCAGGAATTGTGCCAAGAAGAGTGTGAAGGTGAGTAGCAGGGTAAGTGTTAATATGAATAGCAAGGTCAGTGGCAAGGCGAGTGGCTGGAGGGAGATACTGGATGCAGCAGAGAGGTTTGCATTCTTCTCTTGAAGCTGTGATGTTCATTTCCGCTGTCTCACTCACAAGTCACAGTGGCAAGGCAAGTCTGATAAGCACGAACTAGGGTAGGGTGTTTCTCACATGTTTGCCCACTTTTCAAAGCTTAAGGGGTAGAATGGGTGGTTTGACTGGGGAGGTGGGAGGGGGAAAATTGCATTCCATGGAGAGAGTGATTGAACTAGTCTTTAATGTTTCTACCATGGAAACTCAAATCTCCTCCTGGAACTCGCATGATAATCATAGTCCAATGTCCACACACATTTGGGAACCAAAGCCAAGAATCACATTGGTTCGACTTATTACAGCTAAGTCCATGGGGAGCTTGTGCTGGTGACAGTTTTATTCGGTGCAATTGCTGTGATACGGGCTCTGTGGTGGAAGTCCGGCTCCTGTCCCGTACTTGCTGCATGGGATCGGCTGGCGTGTCTATCGTGGCAGTGACTTGCATGGCAGCTGACAGAATCGGTCCACAGCTCTATCCCCGACCCCTCACCCCCTTTCCCCACCGCCCCTGCACTGTCTTCTGTCTGCCCTGCCTTGTTCACCAATACCTTTTTTGCACACACGTACTTACCCCCTGCCTCACCCATTCTTGCTCTACACAGGCCTGAAGCACTCAAGGTGTGCGATTACCGTATGTGCTCATGCCAAGAATTCTTGCCCTAGACAGTTCGTTCCATCATGTAGAGGGATGCTCAGTCATTAGTAATCATGGGCCATTCCCATGACCATCAGTGTTCCACTGTCCTTTGCTGGGTAAATCTGTCGTTTGATTGGAGAAGCAAAGTAACTCTTGTATGGTATTGCTGCCAATATAGTCTTACCGTGAGCCATTGTACAGTCGTTCGTCCCCCCGTCTGGTGTCTGTGTGTATGTGTATGTGTGTGTGTATGTATGTGTGTGTGTGTGTGTGTGTATATGTGTGTGTGTGTGTGTGTATGTGTGTGTGTGTGTGTGTGTGTGTATGTGTGTGTATGTGTGTGTGTATGTGTGTGTGTGTGTGTGCGCGCACGTGCGCGCGTGCGCGCGTATGTGTGTGTGTGTGTGTATGTGCGTGTTTGTGTGTGTGTGTGTGCGTGTTTGTGTGTGTGTGTGTGCGTGTGCGTGTGCGTGTGTGTGTGTGTGTGTGTGTGTGTGTGTGCATGTTTTATCTTCGCTTTTGGTGGTCCATAGCACCAGGGCTTATTTTATCAATGTAATATACCCTTATGTACTGATTATAAGGGTGGAATTTCGGGCTAGCACTAATGGGTTTGGGTAAATTTTGGAGGATTACTATCGTAATTACCCGACTAATAGCCCCCGTCAAAAGTATAGCCGCTTGGGTTGATTGATGCTATCTCTATTTTTGTAATAACCCCCGTTACGAAGCCCCTTTAGACCCCCCTTCCTGTAAACACTCTAGTATCAAAGAGAGCTATAGGAACGACGAAGTCAAGGAATTCTAATATTCCGGCTGACATCACCCATTTGACCATGCGGAGAGTCACTACACAACGGGAGTGGACTACGGAGGAGGGCACGGGGTTGTGCGAGTGATTGTAGCGCTTTGCTAGCGCTCGTACTGCTTTCTATGTTCATTGAGAAGTTTGGCAAGAATTCCACTAAGGAAAGAACAACTTGCAATAACAAAGTTGATAGGTTAGAATAGAGTACAATTGAGGCATGCAGAACAAAAGGACTAGAATGGCATGGAACTCCTAGCAAGGGCGAAATCTGCCAGCGCAGCAGAAGAGCGGCTTGCCAACGCTGCAGCAGAGTGGTCTGCCAGCGTTGCACTGCGCGCGGTCTGCCAGCACTGCAGTCGCAGGTGACTATCTGCAGTCGCAGGTAGCTTTCTGCGGTCGCAGGTTGACTATCTGCGCAGATGTGCGCACCTACCAAGTAGGTGCAGGTTGGCGGTTTCACCGTCAGGCACATTGCGCAGGTGCCAGGTAGAACACGTGTTGATCGGTTGCGCCAGGTGCGCGCCGTCGACCACGTGATGAGTTCCGCAGGTAGAACTTCGCTAAAATCTCCTGGGCGAAAGTTCACACGCCTTCGCAGAGTTTCGCACAACTCTGCAACTTTGATCGAACAGCTCGACTCTGCTCGGTCGAACAGCGTTCGTCGAGCAGTGCTTCTCGACCAGAACTCTTCGACCAATGTTCTTCGACCAGCGCTCTTCAACAGGAGATCGTCGCGCCGAGATCGTCGACCAGAGCTCATCGCGCAGTGTTCGACCAGGTCCCGTCGAGCAGAGCCTGCTCGACCGCAACTTCCGTCGAACTGCAGAAGCCCATTTCGTCGACCAATCCGTCGCGAAAGTCCCGTCGACGGCGGGATCGGCTACGCTCAAGCGAGGGCGGGGCCATTTCCTTCGACACTCCCCTGCCGCGCTCACGCTTGGGCACCCCACACACAAGGTCCACCCAGAACCCAGAGGGATAGAATACAAGGAGAAAATTCCTTCTGTGTGCACCCAACACATAGAACGCATGTCACCGCACCAGCCGTGCAAGAGGGCACGGCACCTACTGCTGTACCTCGTCATCCCCGTCGGCCAGACGCACTTGGCCGATTGCGACGGAGCACCGGTTGAAAGCCGGAAAATGCAGCGCCTTTGTCAGAAAATCTGTCGGCTGCTCGGAGGTCGGGATGTATTGTAGAGCAATTTTCCTGCGCTTCACCATCTTCTGCAGCCATGCGTAGCATCGTTCCATGTGCTTGAGGTTGCCCTTGAGCCCCAAGCCCTCTGCCACTTTTATCGTCGACTGGTTATCCACGTGCGCAACAATCGGCTTCCTTGGGTCGAGCAGGCGGAATTCTGCAAGGAGAAAGTGCAGACGGCGAGCCTCCTTGCCGGCTTCGGTGGCCGCGACGTACTCTGATTCGGTCGACGAGAGAGTGCGTACTTGATGCGCTGGCTCGACCACGAAACTGCGGCTCCTCCGAAGATGAAAATGTAACCGCCCTGTTGGGTGCAAATTCACTTTGCACGACATCCTGCCGTCTGTTTGTACGAGTATGTGTGTGCGAGTGCATTTGCGTGTGAATGTTGTGTTCGTGTGTTTGTTTGCTTTCGCAATTTTCGCTTGAAGCATTTGCAGGTACTCGCGCAATGTGCGCTTCGGCACAACATTGTACGCGCTATGAACAGTGCAAGCAGAAAGGACGAGCTCGCAAAGGAACCCAGGATGGAAGCTTTGCAGTTCGGTTGAGTTGATTGCGCAGATTCAGTTCTATCCAACTCGAAATTGTACTGTTTTGTTTGGTTAACTATAGTGTAGCAGGGAAGGCACTATAGGGGTACAATTTAGGTGAAGGTTGGATGTTGTTTGTCTGTATCTGCATGCTACAAGGCCAGGGGAAACCAGCAGAACCAGCATTTGGCTGGTTGGGCAAAGACAAAACAGGTTCTGTTTTTAGAACCTGAACCTGGTTCTTGTTTTCCCAGGTTGGAAAAACAGAACCAGAGGTTGTTTTCCAACCTACCACCTGCTGTTTTGTCCAGCCAGGTTGGTTCTGTTGGTTGGAATTATTTGGGATCATCCCTGGTTTTTCCCAGGTTGATTCCCAAGGTCCTTGCTAGCTAGAACTATTTATTCCTTCTCTGTTTGTACCTGGAGATAGTCAATTGATTCATGCGAATTCCTTCCTCACTGGAATTTCGTTTCTACGCGGTTCGACGGCAGAATGCTACCCGAGTCAACGCTAGTACGCTAGCACTCCAACGCTAGGCAAACGCTGTCCGAGCCATAACTTCGTAATGGCTGAACTTTTCGCGAAGCAACTTGGCTTTTTTTCAAGCTCTTGGAGACAGCTTCGATATAGCAAATTCTCAGCTTAATCCGATCGACGCTCTGCACGGCACGCTGCGCGACGTTCAAGGTACTCTTGTTATTTTGGCTAAGTCTTTCTTGACTCCTCTCTCTACAAACTCGGACCCGAGGATAGGGGCTGGTCTTGTGCCAGGCACCCAGGGACCCTTGGAGGTGACCCCGAGGAGAGGTTTTAAGTTTGATTAAGTCATAATAGCTTGAGTTTATTAGGCCCTTACATCAACACGCCCGTGCTCGTCCGATTCTGCTTGTCGCCAGCGTCGTCTGCATCTGCATAGCCGACCAGAACCAGCGACTCTGGTCCGCCGCCGAACTCCAGAGCGACGTTACGAGTTTCAGCGAGGTAGTGCAGAGAGCGACCGACCTCACGCCAGTGGGTGGTTGTTGCTCTGCACTGTCAGGCCGGATCCGAGCTTGCTGCACGCGAAGGCAATGTCGGGCCTTGGCGTGGTGGCAGCGAACTGAAGCGAGCCGACCTTCTGCCGGTACTCTGTTTGCTCGCACGACTGAAACTCTCGTCGTCGAACATCAGCTCTGCGTAGGCGTCGACGGAGACCGGCGTCTTCGGCACTCGCCCGGTCTGCTCCTCGTCGATGAAGCGCCGACGCAGCTTGTCGATGTACGACTGCTGGTGTAGCCACAGCTGGTGTTGGGTGCAAATTTACATTGCACGACATCCTGCCGTCTGTTTGTACGAGTATGCGTGTGCGAATGCATTTGCGCGTGAATGGTGTGTTTGTGTGTTTGTTTGCTTTCGCAATTTTCGCTTGAAGCATTTGCAGGTACTCGCGCAATGTGCGCTTCGGCACAACATTGTACGC